GAGAGAGAGAGAGAGAGAGGGAGATAGAGAGGAATGAGACAACGGACTCGGATATCGAGCAATGCATTTAGAGTACAATGTGATTAATGATACCAAAGTAAAAATGTCGCATCGAGTTACTATAGTTAAAAGAACGAAGCTTTCGCAAGCTTAGCTTTTGTTATTTATACCGCGCATCGATTGCCGGGAGGAATCAGTGTCGCCATCGGCTGGTCGACTCGTGGAATCGTACACGTCGCCACATCGGTACACTTCTGACAACTTTCTATTTTGGGTTATAATATACATTAATTATTTAAAATTTTTCACATTTAATGTGACGCGTGTAAAAAAAAATAATTAAAAACAAAAATTCTGTCTCTGCGACGTGGCAAAGGGTAATATTTTAATCTTTCCGCGACACAAGCGCGAAAATTGAGAAGAGTTTTAATTGGACGTTTCTCAAAGAAAAATTAACTAAATGCCGAATATCGAATATGTGAGGCTCACGATGCACGTGATGCAGAAAGGTAAAAAGAGGTAAAACTTTATTAACGAAATGCAGCACATTCTGACCGCGCTTGCAATTGCTATTATAGATGATAATCTCGAGCCGGGGAAGTATCTCTGCGAGAGCGTTCGCGCGACCGTGCGGCTTGATTTCCAAATTTAAAAAGAGATGGTTCGAATCAAACGCGCGCGATCACGATGGGACACTGCTGACGCGGACGAATATCTTCGTGCAGGAGGGTGCGCGCATACATGAAGTTCCCTTGATAGTCAAGAGGATCACCAGCATCGAGGCTCTCCTCAAATTAAGCCGGAGGACCGTTAAGTCGTCAAATAGAAATAAGAAACCCGCGATAATTCAGAAGGAGAGTGTCCCTCGTTCCGTCGACACGAGCGCGATGAAGAACGGGCCGTTAAAGCACGCTATCAGCATAGAGACCGACGAGGGTACGGCGATACTCTACTGCTCCGACGTCGAGAATTTGAAAAACAAAGACGTGGAGCAGGTGCTGGGTGCGACGAACTCGCGGAACACGAGTAAGAAAGTTCCCTCCTCCCTGGAGAACAAGCTCGCCGACGAGATAAACTGCCGGATAGCGCTCCAAAGTTTGCGAAAGATGATAGAGCTGGAGAGCGAGTGGCACCGGAGAACCACGTCGAACGCTCGTCCGTCCGCGAAGGTAATCAACAGAGACGTCATTCTGCAACAACTCGTGGGTCTGATCGCCAAGAGCCAGGACAGCGAGACGATATTGCAGGGGCTGAGGGCACTGAAGAGGGACAGATTCAGCCCCGCGGCAAATATTTACAAGGACCGAATGTGCAACGAAGTCATGATCAGAGCCACGGACGGCGAGCTTACCGTGTCGCAGCTAATCAGAGCGGTGAGAATTCTGGCGAATTACGGAAGCTCCAGGTATAGAAGCTGCATAGACGCGCTGTGGGTAGGCCTGGCGTGCAGGGAGCAGGACGTCAAACCGGATCTACTGGTGCCGTTATTCAGATCGCTGAAATACTTCCAGCAAAGTAAGAGTATGGTGCAGTTCATTTTGGAGAAGAAACTGTCGGAGCAGTGGCTGAAGTTGACCGGCTCGCAGATGGCCAGTATACTGAACTGCCTGTACGGGAAAGAGTCCACGCCGCAGGGATGTCTGTCGAGCGCCAGCAAGTGGGCGAGCGTGAGCATGACCACGTCCACGGAGAAGGATCTCGTCAATTTTATCGGCGGCTTGCACACGAAGAGGTACGTCGACGAAACGATAGAGCAAGCGTTGGCGAGATACGCGACGAGCAAGGGCACCGAGATGAAAGATCCTAACTTAATCGCCTCCATCATGGATTACTGCAAAGATCTGCGAGTGAGAAATCCGTACGTTCTCACGGAGTGTGGAAAATATTTCATGAGACACGGGATGGAAATTCCGCCCACGTTACTGTCCCCCATTCTCGTGCCGTTTGGATTATTGAATCTACCGCCGCCGGATCCGGCCGAGTTCTGGAGGACATTCGACGAGGTGATGTCCGTGAGATTCTCGGATTTGAAGCTGAACGACGCTCTGGATATTCTTCTGTCCTGCACGTATCTCGAGAGATTTCCCATTAAGCTTCTGGACAAAGTCTTCAGTACGTATCTCATGAACAGGCTGCAAACGCAACGGGACACGCCTATCGTCAATCGCTTGAAAGACAAATTGAAACTATTCGACGCGACCATGTCGTTGGAGTGCAAGGATTATCGCGGCAGCCCGATTAATCTGGACAGAAACACGAGGTCGTTGAATTTGGACACGAGAATCCAGGGTATTGTTAATAAAATATACAAACCGCTGGCGCACTTGGTTGGCGGCGAGCACAAGTTGAGCAGAGGCGTGGTTTTGAGCAGGCTGCCGCTTATAAACTTCTACATTTTGGACATTCTGATACATCCGCTCTCAAAGTCGGCGCCGGTGTTCAACTTGAATCTGCATAAAAAGCGAAACGTCAATACCGCGATTCTAATCCATTTGCCCGAATACTATTGCTGGAACACGCGGTTCTTAGTAGGGCCGCAGGTAATGAGAAAACGTCAAGTTAGGAAATTGGGTTTCCGAGTTGCACATTTAGATTATGCGAGGCTGGCAGAGCTCGTAGATCAGGACGACAAATTGTTACCCTATTTGTCACAAAGTCTGGACGCCGCCGAAGACGCTTTATAAATCGTTTCGCGTGTGACCGCGCGTGTATTTTACGCGATGTAAAAATTCACAGATAAAAACTGCATTGATGAAATGCAATAACTAATACATGTTTTTTTAATAAATATAATAAAGCATTGTACTCTAAATGAAATAAATATTTAGATGAAGTTTGTAGTTATTTTTATTATTGTAAAACGACGTAGTAAATTCTTCTTCTTGCTTTATACAGCCGGGTGATAAAGTCTCCTCAAGAAATTGAGGTATTGCGGTACGTGTGCAAGATAAGTTCGGAGGCGCACAAGGTCGTAATGCGCTCTATGCGCCCTGGGATTCCAGAATACAAAGCGGAGGCTTGGTTTTTGAATTATGTATACGCCGAGGGAGGGTGCAGGCATGTGTCTTACACGTGCATCTGCGGATCCGGACATAATTCCTCTGTACTGCACTACGGCCACGCCGGTGCGCCGAATAGTAAGGTCATACAAGATGGAGATATGTGGTAAGGTTTCAGCTTGAATTATTCGCTACAACTTTTATATATATATATATATATATATATATATATATATATACATTGCGCGTTATAATATTTGTGTAACACGCTCTTTCTCTTTGCAGCTTGTTCGACATGGGCGGCAATTACTGCGGATATGCGGCCGACATTACGTGCAGTTTTCCGGCCAACGGAAAGTTCACCGAGGATCAAAAGCTGATCTACAACGCGGTGCTGAAGGCGCGCAACGAGGTGCTCGCGGCCGCGAAGCCGGGAGTCGCCTGGACGGACATGCATCTGCTGGCGAACAGGGTCATGTTGACGGCGTTGATTGAGGGTGGACTGCTGGTGGGCGACGTCGAGGAGATGATAAAAATGGGCTTGAACGAAGTGTTCCAGCCTCACGGGCTGGGCCACTTGCTGGGGCTGGATGTGCACGACGTCGGTGGATATCTGTCCGGTCATCCTGAACGCCCGAAGCAAGTAGGATTGAGAAAGTTGAGAACCGCGCGAGTACTGCGCGCCGGAATGGTTCTCACGGTGGAGCCGGGCTGTTACTTCATTGACTTCGTAAGTGTATAATTGGCGAATAAGATAATTGGCGAATAGGTTTTTATATACCGAGCTTTAGAGCCGGGTCTTTTCGAATATTCACACGGAGCAATTTTTCGTTTTACAGTTGCTGAACTCAGCTCTTGCCAATCCGTATCAAAAGAAATTCTTCGTGCCGGAACAGTTGCAGAGGTTCCGCGGTTTCGGCGGCGTCAGGATCGAGGATGACGTCCTCATAACGGAAACCGGAGTGGAAAATCTGACGGATGTTCCTCGCACGTAAGCGTTCATTCTACGCACGTTTATTTTACTATTTATATCTATATTGTTTGAAGAGAAAAACTATTTTACAATTTTATATATTTCAGAGTCGAGGAGATAGAGAGCTTCATGCAGAGTTGATAGGTCAACAGGGATAAGCGGAATTCGAAGGATAACGGCGGAGCGAAAAGTTGAACAAGTCGCTTATTAATAATTAGCTGCATAAAATGCAATTGTGATAATAAGGTATATATTCATATAATTTTTTATCAGATATATGAAATTGCATATATACGTATACATATATATATGTTTGTATCCATTTACACATAAATGTAATGAATAAAGCAGGAGACTGAGATGCCATAATATATCCGCGATGGTTATGGTATATATCGTTAAATTTCTGGCGATTATCTAAGCAAGATTTTTCAAATCCACGCGTCCGCACGTGTAGGACCTTCTCACGCTAAAGGCTTAGGCTAAGGCAGGTAGATTTAGATTTTAGATCATTGCGGTAAAAGTCACTCGTTCTGTCGCGCTTGTTCGCGAATGACGTCTATTCCGGAGTAGCCTTGGCAATTTCTGACGGAGGGAAATCGAAAGCAGTTTCAGTCTCGGAGATACGTTAGCGTCAGCGATCCGGGGGATTAGGGCATTTAATTCGGTGCACGTGGATATACCTTTTTTTTTTATCGCGCGAACCGTGACCTTTCGTTGCCCGCGGACTTTCGTCGGAAGTTCGCGCGTGCCGGCTGCGGCCTCGCGGGCTGTATTATATCGCGCGTTCGCTCGGGCGAAATCTAAACGCGGCCTATTATCGCGCGCGAGCGCCTTAGAGTTGCGTGACCGACGTGTACGTATGTATGTATGTACACATACGTAGGTACGTACATACGCGCGTGCTGCGGCACGTCGCGTCGCGATTGACATACGCGAAACGTCAGACCAGTCCAGCATCTGCCGCGTGCGTAGCCGGGCATCTTGAATTTCACAAGAGTAACATAATATCGAACGTCGAGTGTCGACGTCAACGAACCGAGCGTGCCGTTCGCGAGAGAGATCTCGCGAGTGCGCTTCAGCGCTCTCCGGTTTCGCGCGTGCGAGCGCGCGGCGGAAGATAAACTCGCGCGCGGGCTTCCTCCCCGGGCAAACGCGGTTAAAACGATAACGCGAACGAGGCATTGACGTCAAAACACTTTTATCGCCGTTCACCGAAGGTTTCGGTGAAAATACCGTATAGCGAAAGCCGAGGAGAAAGCGGGACGCGGGCGAGGAGAGCCGCGGCCGTAAATCCCGCGACTGCGTGTGTAAAAATAAAGCATTGGCCCCTGGGCGGGCATTATACCACAATTAGACCGCGTATAGGTCCAAAAATACACGCTATCGACTGATCTCGCCTACGAGAGAGAGGTGAAGCTACTCGCGATATATATCTCTTTCAACTCGAAGTTCCTTTAATCTCGCGCGACGACCCTCCTCCTCCCCCCCCCCACCCACCCCACGGGACCGCGCCGCGGTTCGGTTTTGCGGAGGAAGTTGGGATCCCGAGGGAAATCCGCGGTCCCGTCGATCATCGGCGATCTGCCGTCAGGAGACCTGCACCTCGACTGCCGATCGAACTGGCGTGTCGGTTTATAAATACGTGATCCCGAGAATATGGAGCGCGGACCGCACGTTACGTATTTGACGTAACATGCAGACACGCCGCGGGCGGGATACGTTCACCGAGCGGGGTGAGAGGGCAGAAAGAAATCCCGGTGCACCGCGCATCGTGAACTCATCACGGTGTCGCAGAGTGTCAACGGTTGCGCGTCGCGCGGCGACGACGACGCTCGTCCCGACCGCGAGATCGAAGCGGAAGCGCGCAGACGCGCTCGACAGCTCGACGGACGTTGAGCTCTTTTTTTCTCCTTTCTTTCTTAATCTGACCAAGCGTCTTTTTGCCTCGCTTGACGAAGTCTGCTCTCGCCGTAGAGATTCTTCTCGAACAGCTCGATGTAACAACGACGACGGTAACGAGTCTGTGCCGCGCGAGGGTATGCACGATACGTTTGAAGATTTCTTGAACAAATCTCGATGGGAGGATATCGAAAGCTTGACGCGCGCTGAGGAAGGATTCCGGAAGTTTCAATCCACAAATTCGAATCGGCAAAACGTTTACTCGCGAGACTTTGCGCGAACGGTGACTACTATCGAAAATAGATTTTCGGATATACGGCTGAGTCCAGTCTCGTCGTCTCTGACGCTGTCTCGTCGCTCGATATACTTATAATTTTCTCCTCGAATGGACCTGCAGAATCGCTCGTGCGAAAGTAAAGAAGATTCTTCGCCGTCGAGACTAAACGATAAAAAAAAAAAAGAAAAAGAAACTTCGACGACACACCTGAAAAAATCGTGGAGAGACGTCTCACATGACGGTGTCTCTTTCGAGCATCTTATCGCGCGGGTTTGATCAGCTTGAACTCGTTACATTAGCGCGGTTATCGGCAAGGAGGGTTCGATATCCCCTTCCCTCCCTCCCCCGCGAATCAACTCGTGGCTTCACGCCACCGCGCCGGCTCGATGCTCCAGGGAGACGAACGGAGACGGATGAAGGGAGGCGTACTCGGGTAAGAAGAGGAGCGCGGTCGGCAACGCGGCAGGCAGGCGTGAAAGTCGGCAGCTTCATCAACACGCATGCCTGACGCCCGCTGACGCCGCGCCGCCGCGTTCGTCGTCATCGTCGTCGTCGCCGTCGACGCCGTCCGGCCGTCATATCGACGAGTCGCGCGAGTCGCCCACGACGACGGTGCCAGCCAGTAGCCGCACGACCGTCGGGACGAACCCCTCCCGCGTCGAGCGCCGACGGACGACGAGGATGCGCAGGGGTGACGGTGGAGGAGGAGGTGGTGGACAACGACAACGCGAAGGGAAAACCGGTGGCGGCGACAGCGGCAGCGGCAGCGGCGGCGGTGGCATCGGCGAAACCGGAGGCGCGGTCGAGGCGCGCCCGCTCACCACGGCGTCATTCGGGGGGGCAGCAGCGCGGTCTGCGTGACCTGGGCCCACCACGTGCCTCTCTCTCTCTGACGTCGCCCGCGCTTGGCGACGCGCCCGACGTGCGTCCGCAACGCCGATCACCTGCCACGACCTCCTGCGTTCTCGCGGCGAGCGTCGCAAACGTGATCCGCGAATAATTATAAAGCCACCACGACCAGTTCGCGGAAGAAGGGAAGATTGTCGGCGGGATAAAAGAGAAAAGGACGTCACTCTCGCGAGAGACGTGGACTCGCGCGGGGACACTCGTCTCGGACACGATCGACGACACCTCGGCGAGGTGACCGCGGCGGCGTTGCTGCGCGAGGAAGGGGAGCGGTCGGAGAAGCATTCTCGCGCGGAGAAGAAGCGACACGCGTGTCCTCGATTTCGCGGCTCCGTGTGCGGCGGAAGCAGCGAAACGGGACGTCGCGGTTGTGACGCTGTCGTGACGTATCCGCGAGAGAGGTATTCGCGGGCGGAAGCGGAAACGGAGCGCGCGATTTCCTTCGCGCGAAAGAACGTCGCAGACGCGGTTTTTCGCGGTCGTCTTCCGTCGCGTCGCGATAAGGGAAGGGGAGAAGAGGGGAACGCGTGTCCGCGCGCGGTCACGCGGACGGTCGCGTCCGCGGCGTGAAGGCGAACGTGATTTATTTCGGCACGCGGCAATTTCGGGGCTGCGAGAGAGAAAGAGAGAGCGAGATCGAGCGAGCGAGCTCGAGGAGGCCAGCGGACTCCGGAGGAGGGGATGAACGGACGGTACTCGCGCGGCGAGTAAAAGAGAGGCCGCGCCGCGCGGGATAGAGCGAGAGTTAAAGCCCGCCGCTTGCGTCAGTGGTGCACGCCGCGAGAAAACGGTCGTCGCGCGCGTTCACGAGCTGCGGTGTGCTGCGCGCGGGTTTCCTAAGAGCGAGCTCTCTCTTAATAATTCGCGACCGCGCGGGCAGACGAGGCCGTCGCGAGTAAACGCGCAAAGACAAACAACGGAAATTTTTGCGGCTTCCGGTTTGGATAAACTCGCGCGTCTGACGTTTTGGGTGTATGCGCGCGTGTATACGTGTGACGCGTGTGTGCTCTAACGGGACGGAGTAAAAGTACGCGCTCCGATTTCGAAGGCGCGACTCCGAGCGAACGCGAGAGAGAGTCCGGCTTCGTATCTCGCTAGGTAGACGGATTAAATTAATAAAATTGATCGTGTGACGTTGCCGCCTTTATCATTGACGTCGGAGGTTTATCGCTCAGCGGAGAAGAGATTGCACCAGCGAGCTGTGTGTGTGTTTCCCGATTTATTCTACAATACCGCGGGATAATGTCTTCGGATATATTGTTGAGATTAAAGTGACGAGACTCGTCCTCAAGTTCCAATTCGTATAACGACGAGGAAAGACCCGCTCGGTAGAAGTTGACGAAATGCGAGAAAAGATATTTTCACAGATCGTGAAATTTTATTGTCACTTCGTGAACGAATAGAGAACGAAGTACGAGACAGTAGACGCTAATTAAATATCGTCGTACTGAAAAAGAGTAGCTTTGTTCTCTCGCTATCAAATTTGCGCTGCCGCGATGGGCGCATTCGCGCGATTATCGAAGAGGACTTCCGGCCGCGTGCGGCGGCAAGTTTCATAGAGGGATTCGCCGAAGTGAGAGAGAGGTTTCGCAGACGCGAGCGCGGTCTGGAATTTACTCTACATACAGTGGAATAATCCAGCAGCGAGACGCAGAGCTGTAAAGACGAAGAAATCGGCGCCGGCGATAAGCGATCGCTGGTTACTATCTAATCGCGGAATCGCTCACCCGCGTCGCGCACACCAACGCGATCCGCTTTTATAATCGGCATGGCGGACGCGCGTCACAAGATTAGTTCCGTAAATTTGTTGACGTCGTTCGGCACGCGCGGTGAAACGACGAATATTATTCGGTCGATTCGCTTTCGATCGCGGTCGAAACTCCCGCCGGTCTCGCCGGGTCTCGCCCACGCGAATTGAAGGACGGCACGATGATGTAACGTATACGTCGTGTAAAGCCCCCGTGTGTGCGCGTGTGTGTATGTGTGTGTTACACCAAGTTGGAGGACAGCGTTTCGCCGATTGTCATCATTTGCGCCGACCGGAAGCGGACCGATGATTACGCGAATGTTGTCTCGGTAAACGGTAATTCCCGGTGGGTTTTTCATACAGCTGCGCGGTGATCGCGAGTCTATCAAGCCTGGCCGGAATCGGCGAGGAAGATCAGAGAGATAAAGAAGAGGAAACGGAGGAGAGGTGTTCTTCGCGGGCACCCCGTCGTCCTCGTACGATCGAGAGTGCGAGAATCGCCCGGCGAAAAAGGGGAGAGATACAGCTTCTTGCCGACTTGCGGGACCGGGACTTCCTCGATCGAGCGGCTTCAAGATTCGGAAGAGTCGACGATACGCCGGCGTATGCCTAGATTACGCGAGATACGGAGAGACTATATATAATATACGAGACCGAGCGGAGGGCAAACGATTATCCACGCGACGGGCGTGCGATAATCCCGCGCGAACTCGCGACTAGTCATCGATCGACCGTCAGACGCTGTGCGCCGCGACGCGCCCTCTCCTCGCTCCTTGCTCTCTCTCGGCCGTCCCCACCTGTCCCTGTCCTGTCCCCGGTGTCGTGTCAGACATTTACGTATCACGTCGGAAACACACGCCTGGAGCGCGCTCTCTCCTCGTCCCTTTTCTTGCTCCATCTTCTCCCCCTCCCCCCCGTCTCCCTCTCCCATCCGTTCTCCCATCTTTCTTTCTCTTCCGTCCTCTCTCCTTTCCCGCCTATCTTTCTTTCTTTCTTTCTTCTGGACTATCCTCCTCCTCGGCGTTGCGAGTCGTAGTCTGAGAGTAGCCCTGCTGTCAAGCAGGCGGGCGTAGTAGGTCCGACGTCGTACAGGTCTCCCTGCACCGAACTCGGTGCACCGCGCGGTGGCTTTGACATCGCCACCGGCACACGAGGTGTTGTCGTCGATGCCGTAGGTGGGAATCAGTACGTCGGCGTCTATCGCGGCGCGCGGACCTCGGCGGATTCGACGATGTGCCGCGGCGCGTTCCAGCGTGCGCGCAAAAAAAACGAGCGACTGAGCTTTGACGTCGGAGCGCGTTTTTCTCAAAAAAAAAATCTCGGTATATATTCGGGGGTTCCGTTGAAGTGTTGTCCGCCCAATCAATCCCTCCTCTCTCTCTCTCTCTCTCTCTCTCTCTCTCTCGTGCGCGATTATGGTGATCAGTGGTGACCCCAAGGCGTTGAAGTGATCTTCTACTTGCGTGCGTACCCTTCGAGGACAATCGAGGACGACTTAATCACCTCTCTCTGGCTAGTGAAAGAAAAAAAACGCGCGCGTGGGGTGAAATCGACGGCGTGAATTCGACGCTTCGTTCCGACAACTTCCGACACGTGCAGGTATTAGCCCGGGTTGATAGATATCGGCGGAAGATATCTATCTCGTTGCCACGCGACGCGAAGGAACGAGGTGCCTCCCTCATCGTCGAGGATTACCGGACGCCACGAGGGGCGTCAGAGAGAAGCGAGAAAGTTCAGGCAGAAAAACAGATATAGCGCGTAAACTCCTATCTATCCGGTCGCGTCGGCGTTCATCGTTCGTGCGCGTGGCTGATGTTGATACGACTGGAACGAGGAGATACGAGCTACAACGAGGAGGACGACGTCATACACCTCGCTACCACGTAGACAATTCATTCGAGCGCGCGATCCTCGCCGTTCCCAATCAGCCTCTGCGTCAACCTCATCTGCAGGAACGTCGAAGAGTCCTGTCTACGCGTCCGCCTACAAATCGCACAATGTTTTGCTTCCAAAGCCCCTTCACGCGATCGTCGCGTGGCGTGGTGTCCGCCGCGTCGCTGTCGACGGGCAAGAGCAAGTCCTCGCTGACCGACGCGATCCTGTCGCCCACCGTCAAGACGGCCAACGCGAGCGAGCGCAACCGACGCGGCTCCGAGGCGACCAGCGAGGGCTCCAACTCCTCCATCAGATACATCGACCAGGAAGCCTCGATATCCGGCGGTAGCAGCACGGACACTCTGCCGGGTATCCGTGCCGATTACCTCGACCCCGAACCCCTGTCGCCCGCGGCGGACGCTCTGACCTCGCCGAGCGGCATAACGGTGATTTTGAACGGCAACAACGGCACCAGCAACGAGCGACAGATCCTTCTGCAGGACGAGAGTCTGCATCAGACCGCGCGTTCCCCGCCGTCGCCGACGAAGAAGTCGAACAACAACGGCAACAGCTGGCGCCGCAAGCTCATGCTGCGCCTTCGCTCCAACGATTCCACGAACTTGAGCAACGGCGAGGCGCGCTCCACCTCGACGTCACCCTCGCCCGCGAGCGAGTCAACGGCGGAGTCCTCGTCCTCGTCGAGGAACCCACGTGCGGACGAGGGGCAGCAAGGCGGCAACGCCACGGCGACGACCGTCTCGTCGCCGTCGGTGCAGATCGACGTGATCGAGAGCCCTCAGGTGGCCGCCGCATCCGTCGGCGACATAGCATCCCTGGAGAACGGCTTCAGCGACGACGAGGAGGACGAGGAGGAGGCCTGCCCGGAGACCGAGACGGAGGAGGGCTCGTCCTTGCCGTCCAGCCCCGCGGCCGCGTCCACTGTCGGCCTGACCACCTCCACGGCGCCCTACTACGACTTCCTGTCGGTGAACGGCGGCACGATGCGGCAGGAGACCACCAGCACGAGCTCGCCACAGCTGTCGTCCGGCGCGAGTCTACGTTCGAGCGTGGAGTCACCGCCCGCCGACACCTGCAGCTCCTACGGCGAGGACAGCAGCCCGGGCATGGACTCGCTGAAGCCCGAGGGTCTGGACGCGTCCGGGTGCCTGCCGGCCGCGCGATCCTGCCCGAATCTGGAGCGGCAGAGCGCCGGCTGCTCGTCGGCCAGCGGCTCGTCGAGCCCGAGCCCGAGTCCGGGCCCGGCCGGGCCCCGTTTCAAGCCCCTCGAGGAGGGCGACATACAGGTGTGCTACCTGAATCACACCCGGACCCTCGTGAAGAAGATCCTGTCCAGCAAGTTCCTCAGACGCTGGGAGACCCATCACCTCTATCTCAACGACGCCTGCCTGTCCTCCAAGACGGTGAGTGTGACGTAAATGTGTCGTCTTATCGCGCGCGCTTGCGGTGGAATTCCGCACGTGACGCGAGGTCTCTCCTAAAACTCGACCTATTCTTGAGCGCTCCACGAAATCCCGTATAAAAAAAGAAAAGATAATCTAATTTATATCAGAGAAAGTATCGATCCTGTAGATTTTTAGGAGAGGATAACCGCCGCGTAGATTCGCAGCCTGTATCGCTGTCAAGGTCGGAACGGAATAATATTCAGTAGGGTATTTCCATTCGCAAAGTAAAATATCCACTTGCGACAAAATTGCATAATGTCGTAATGGTATAATTAAGTCCGCGATTAACGCTGAAGAAGAGTCCCGCAACTCCGCCGCGCTCGAGTTCTCTCTATTCTCGGCTTAGGCCACTTCCGAGCTTGTTACGTTACCACGCGTAGGCGTGCTTGGTGAGTTTCCACCTGTGCATTGTGCATTATTATCCGGATTACTGGTTACTATAGTAATCTGCAAACGACATAATACGATTGTAACTATACGCGAGAGAGTAAATCCTGCCGTCTAACTTTGTCTCTCAATATAGGATTATCGTGCCCCGCGATCGACAGACAAATCGATTTCAGACAAATGCAGACGGCGCGCGATATGTAATTAGAAAACCACCGCGGCCGCGGCGAGAGGGATGCATGGGGCATAAAGAATTCAGAGTTATTTCCCGGGCACGCCGAGGAGGCTCGCGGCGGCGGGAAAGCCGCACACGGAACTCCCCCGTGATGGCTCCAAGGACGGGTTCGCGCGTGCGAGTTCGAACTGTTTATTTTGGAAGTGACGGGCAAGTTTGGAGATGACGAATTTAGCTGGTATACAATCTCTCGCGTGTCGCGCCGCGATCCACTTCGACGTCTCCGCCTCCATCATAATCCGAGCCGCTCGCGGTTGCCTTTCGCGTAAAGGACGCGTTTATCGTTAGTTCGTTATGTAAACTCGCGCGCGCGCGCGCGCCCGCGAAGTATTCATACTTCATCATCGCGATTCACAGTGGCTTCTTTGACGTAGAGCTCCGCCGTAATTGAGAGGCCGAGCCCGCGAAAATAATTCAGCAACGCTTTACCTTTTATATCTCCATTTCAATTCGAACAAATCACGCGGCTATACGTGTGCCGACCGCGTTACGTCATTTCTCTCTCTCATTTTCAACATTTTTCTCTCCGCCATACGTAAATTTATTATATTTATAAATATTTTTATCGGTAGAAGACCCCTCGATCAATTTAATCGTCAAATTACATCAATTAATTTATCATTTATTTATCACAAATATATATTCTTTCTCTCCTTCATTTCTCGTAATGCTTGAAATGAATGAGTGTTTACGAATTTGTATAGGTAATCGCGGGGGGGGGGGAGAGTATCGAAAATCGTTAGAGCGCGCATGCATTATTCTCGGCCGCTTCGAGTCGCTGATCGTTTCTACGTGGAATATACGTGGATTTCTCGTTATCGGCCAGCCGGGAGCAGCGTTCGTACGTAACGCACGAAACCGGCGCGGAGATCGCGGTCATCTCGGGCAACAACAATGATTACGCGAGTCTCCGTTCTTCCGCCCCTCCGTCCGCGCGACTCGCATTGTATCAGAAAGCAATCTGCATCGTCAGGGTCGATACAGCGGCGATTTATGGCACGCTATCGCGATACACACGGCAAAGAGCACCGGCGATCGCGTCAGCTGCATCGAAGTGCGACGAACAGCGAGATGGGATCCCTCTCCTTCCCTCATCCGACGAGTAACGTTACGTAATTGCGAATTTTCCGGCGCGCGGGCGAGAGAGAGAGAGAGAGAGAGAGAGAGAGAAGGGACTAGGAAGGCAGAGAGAAATGTCGGTTGGAGGAAAAAAACCGCCTAAATTCGTTACCTTCAGCTTTCAGCGCGCAATCACGATGTTCGATGCCGATTGCCTGATTACGGAACCGCCGCCGCCGCTACACCCCATGTTCCGCGAAATGCAATTTATCGTTTCGCTTTGTAGGATAGGAGAGCGCGCTTGAGAACGCGGAATGGCATTTGATGCACTTCGTCGACGGTGATTGATTCTATTCCCGGTGGCGATGCATTTACCCTTCGACAAGATCCCAAGACTGTGCTCCCGTATATAATAATCGAACGACTTTTTTTACTTTATTTTATTTATTTATTTTTAAATAAATTATTCGTTATCCCTGTGATCGCGCTTTCGGGGCCGCGAGCGATTATCTCGTTGACGCATTACATAGCGCCGCAAAAAGATTTCTGCACGGACCGCCGTGTGTTTCTCCTTCTGTTTTCGCGGCGCGATAACAGAAATTATTTGCATGTGCGCAAAGAGAGAGAGAGAGAGAGAGAGAGAGAAACACGTGCGGCACCGAAACTCCCCCGTAAACCTTGCATTCCTCCGATGACATTACTCATTTGGACGTCTTCACGACTGCGCGTTTCCTGCATCTGGAAAAAAAATCGCTCTCTGCGAAATTAGCACTCCCTTTTTTTTTACCGTCAGAACTTTTCATTGTGCCTCTACTTGGACGCGACTGGGTGCACGCGCTTTTATAGAAGTGTATGTATACGCATTTCGTATGAGACAGACAATGTATTTTGACATTCTAGACGCGAGATACAGTTATCGCAAATGATCTGATACTGTACAACCGTACAAATAAATAACAACAGCGAGATAACAATTTTACCATAATATATATGTGACGTAATGTTCGTGATGTACGTCATGATAACGGGTAGAACACGATAGGTGCCGATACTCGCTGTTGTATCGGGTATCGTCACAGAAAGAAAAAGAAGCTCGCGCGCCTTGACAATCTTGACAAGGACGGCTCGTCATCGATAAAACTTGACGATAATTGTTCAGTAACATTCCGCGATCGTTCGACCGTGTCAAATTCTTGAATTAATCGTTCGTGAAACCGCCGGCATTTGCGTGACATTCGAGACGCCAAGCGGCCCACGAATTTGCGCCACATTTTTTTCTACTTCGCCGCCACGGAGAATCGTCGGATTATGTTAATTTGCCGATCATCCCACTGCTCACGTGGACCGATGTTTGATTGACTCGAGCCGTGCGTCAGCCTCGACTTACGTGAAATTCGGATGAAATGACGGCACAGATGGTAGAAGGTGGAGAGAGAAAGAGAGGAAAAGAGAAACACGCAGCGCATCACGCTGATTGTCAATTCTCATGCTCGCTATATGGTTAATCGAGCGAACAACCGATAAGAGAATCGCGAACTTTTCTGACGCACTCGTATACGGCGAAAGAGATTGGCCCCTCGATACCGCGGAACCGTTTTGGTCGCTCGGTATCGGATTGCCATTAATATCGCCGATATCACTCGATACGCTCTTTCCTTCTCTCCTCGCGCACGGCATTAATGTATAAATAATAACAGATGCGAATCCGTCGATGCTGAAAATATTCAACGTAAGGTCGATCCGCGTTCACTTCGCACTTTATATATTTACGCCACAGGCGGTCGGCGTTGAGATTTCGACATACAAGTCGAAACGAAGAAGGCGACACGATCTATATATATAGAATTCGCATAGTGGCGGTGGGTGATGTTCAAAATTAATTGTAACCGCGCTATTTGTGTAAGTGAAGTTACTTTTATTAGCGTCGCGGGATCCGCACGTCAAGAGCGCAATTAATATGCTATCGCGCGGAATTCCTAATATCGAAGTCTCGGCGAAAATAAGCAGACGTCCCCGACACTTTGCGGCAATTTGCAACGAATACACGAGGCCGCGAGTATTTTCGCGGGGGAATTTATTTGTTTCTCTTTCATTCCGCGCCCCGGGATATATTTGGCTGATTAATCGCCGAATAATTAAGGAAACGATTTTTATAGGTACTCCCGCCCGACTCGTCCGTTCCTTTGTCGAGCGCCGACAGCGTGCGATGTAACGTTCATTAACGTGATCCCGATCTGTGTGTTAGCGTTGCCGACACGCGGGCTCATTAATAAAGCATCGGTAAACCGAATCATCGTGTTTATCCGACTAACCGGAATTTAGTGTCTATATTCGGCGGAGAGTAAAGAGAGAGATTTCGCGATAAAGATGGTCAATCTGTTCCGACGTTGCGCACGGCAAAGTTAAAGATTCAGAGGGGGATTTAACTGTGATTGAGCTGTACCTACAGACCGCCCATCTATTCAGCAATAAAGAGGATTCTCCTTCTCGCATCAGATTATCCTGCAACCGTCCTTTTTTTCCGGCGGTATTTCACGATGGCGTGTGTAGAAAGGAATACGTTTCGATAAAATCGCAAAGCGAAATGTACATCGCGACTTTTTTTTTATCAAATAATAGAAATTGCAATGGGAATAGAGATTACTACTAACGCGCAATAGCGGCATGTGCAATTCATAAATATTTATGTTTGTTCTTATCTTTCTTTCTCCCTTTCGCGTGGCTTTTATATATATATATATATATATATATATATATATATATATTTCGTTATTTTTACACATTACTTATTTGCACGCGTACTTAAAGCTGTCGGACAACGCAGACACTCTCTCTCTTTCTTTCCCAACCCCCGTACGTCATTAAAACGTTTCTCGTTCGCGCGTCGCGGAATAAAACAGAAATTTTATTTTCAGCGAAACGCAGGGCGATTTCGCACAGAGGGTTGCGCAAAAATGTGTTCGCTATTGCGTTGGATATTTTTCTTATTTAAATGCATATCTCGTTACATTGTATGTACATGTACACACATGCACGGCGCGAAATGTTTCACGCGCCCGCGGATACCAGGATGGCGACGCCGGCGTATTCGATAAATTTAATTCCGCGTAACTTCGCGAGCACAACGATGAGGTTTATTATGTTCGCGCGCGGCGGAATTTCGCGCGGTGTAATCTCTATGTGCATATAACATGTATACGTACGTACGTACGTAACGCGCATGCATGTATGTCGTCGCGCGATATTTTCGTACTAATGCAGGCTTTTGTACGGTAAC